AAAAAATATCATTATCAAAAAATGATTTCTACTTAATTATTACACAAAATTAATCAAAATGTTTAATTATATATTATCAAAAAATGATTATCAAAAAATATCATTATCAAAAAATGATTTCTACTTAATTATTACACAAAATTAATCAAAATGTTTAATTATATATTATCAAAAAATGATTATCAAAAAATATCATTATCAAAAAATGATTTCTACTTAATTATTACACAAAATATTTATATAAATTATAAGAAATAAATTATTAATAAATATGAAATACTTATAAAGAAAGTAGAATTTTTGAATATTATTTATTTATAAAAACATTTTATAAATATCTAATATTTTTTTTTTACAGAATAAGAAAATGATATGATCTACTTTATATACAAAAATATATACAATTCTATTAAAAAAAAAAAATTATGCAAGATGTATACGCACCTCGTTATACTTGCGAAAAGATTACAGTCCTGAAAAGTCCTCTTTGAATCATTCATATTTTTCCTTTTAACATTTTTTTAATAGCAACCAGAAAAGAGGTATGACTTGTCCCAGTTGCATGGACCACCTTTTATATGTGCACTTGCTTTCCATTCCACGCTCCTAATCGTGTTTCGCCACGGTCAAATTTCACCGTGCTTGCTCTTATATCTCATGTCCATGCGACTATGACGAAGCTGTAAATTAATCTGCTATGGTTTTTATGTTTTCAATTCAATTATGTATCTTTTTCGTCAAAAAATTATTAATCTTCGATTCATATCGTTGGATCATGTGATGAAAAAAATTTTAATTAAATTATTTAATTTCAAATTATTTAAAACAATTTTAAATTTTAGAAAAAATAGCGATGAATGTTATATAAATATATATATATAAATATTTATATTAATAAATATTATTCAAATTATTCAAATCATCTATAAACATTACTGTACTGTAAAATTAAGAATTGATGAAAAAAAGATGAAAATTCTTAAATTGAGAATGAAAAATATTCGAAAATAACACGATTTGGAAATTCTTGCAAAACTTTTAAGAGTGTAAAAAACAAAATACAAAATATTTATTTTCTGAAAAATATTAACAAAATTATTAAAAGTGAATCCAAACATGTTGAATGTTATGTTCATTTTTATTGCAACTCATTCTGTCTTTGTCTCGTTTCATCTAACATAAATTAATTGCTTAATAAAAACTTAGTAAAAAAAATATTTTTGTATATTAACTATTATGTTTGTTTTGGCTTTTAAAATTGATCTTCTAAAGATACGATAATATTATAAAATATTTTATATATATGCATTCATGAAGAATTGGAAAATTGATTTTAGAAACCAAGCTAAATTCAAAACTTAATACAAAAATGTCAATTGAAGTTTATTTATTAAATTACAGTTTGTATGAAATGAGAAACAGTGATAAGCCGTAGAAAAAATATATAATATTTATCTATTTGTATTTATTATATTTTTAACGATTTTTTATAAAGTTTTTTTTAAATTTATTTTCATAAAAAGTTACAATAAAATTTTGTAATAAAAGAAGACACTGATTGTATCGAAAAATCTCAAAAACCACTGCAGAACTATTAAGAATTTATTGTTTATTAGCCAACAAAAATTTCGCGTATTCTATTTATCTCATCGATGCATCGCGAATTTAGCAAAATTTATCAATTTCTGTTCAATTTATTTTTCATATTATTCTTAACAATATCCAAAACGAGAGTTAATGTATATATAGTAAAATTTGGATAATTACAAGACTTTATTTGCATAAAGGTCCATTACTCATGCCCATTGTAAGAAAAATTCTCTTTGGCGCACACGATATATTTATTTTGACTCTTTTTGGCTCTTTTTATTTACTATTCATGTTTAGTAAATATAAAGGAAATTTCAAAATTTGGCTGAATCATATTAAAATTAAAAATTCCAATACAATAAAGCCTCTTTTACAATAACACAATTATTGTCATAGTATAATGAATATTATTGCACAATATAAATACAAAATTAGTAACACTATTTAGATGATGATCTGAATATTTAATCTTATATGTATGTAATCATACAATATATCTGTTATATAATATGACGATAGATTGTAAAAGAGCCCTAAATATTGGATGAATCCTCAAAAATTTAAATTCATATACATTATATGGAATAGTACTGAAATTTAATTCCTTTGTATTTTATCAACAGAAAAAAAGATGGAAAAATAAAAAAAAAAACGCGAACATCAAAATAAATGTATCGAAGTTTATGATACACCAATCTCTTCCAATAAATTCTCTTCCAATAATGGGGATAACTACTAAACTATATATTTACATAAATTATTTCAGCAATTATCCAATATTTATTATATATCACGTAAATGTTCGGCTTGAACTTCAATTTTCGATCACTTATCCAACTTATACTGTATTTTAACCATAAAGAACACATTTTAAACGCTTCTATAAAAATATAAATCGAAACGAAGTTATTTTATGTAATTTGATCTGTTCCACCAGCGAAAGGTATGGTAATAACAAAACCGACCTCTATAGTACGTATATGCTACGTACTCACATGCTTTCGCTTATTTTCACAGCTTCGCAAGAGATTTCCTTTTTCCTCTTCTTCTGATCCTTCTTCATACGCTCATACATCTCTATCTTTGTCTCTGAATCCCCTCTTGTTCGAGGTCAGACTGTAAAGACCTTGTTTTCTTCAACAATGTTTCGATTTTCGAATAAAATAAATGAAGAAAAATCGATACAATAATATGGAACAAGATCAAAACTTTACCTTGTTTATTCTATGATTTTTTTTCAATTTTCTTTCTTTTTTTATTTTATTTCTTTTTATTTTATCTATCTATAAGTCTTAATCTTTCTCTCTCTCTCTTTCTTTTCATTTTTTCGTTTCTATTCGCCTCAGTCCTTAGTTGTCCATTGTCCACTCGCCGTCCTATTTTAGAACAGCATGGCTTCCAAGCACTCTTTAGATACGAATCAAGAAAGTTCGCGCGAGGGTGGGCTGCCCTGACATCACGTTTCCACCATCTTAAGCAGGGTAGAAGTTTCTCAAATATTGTGACGATACATCATGCCTAATTTTTTTTTATTATTCTTTTTAATAATTTTTTTTTTAATTTTTATCTTTACCTATCTCTTTCTCTTTCTTTCTATTTCGTTTACATATGATGCAATCGATTGCGAACACTATTCACATGTATTTTTTATCATATATATTTTTAAAACAGATAAGAGTCATTCGATGTTAAGAGTCATCGATGATTCTTCTCATAGAACGATGAAAAATAAAAAAATAATGATGTTCGCAATATTCGATAAAACATATTATTTATATATAATATATTTATATATTTATTATTTTTTCTTCTTTCTTTTCTTATTTTTTTTATTTTTTTTTTATTTTTATTTTTATTTTTTTTTTTAACATATGTTCTGTAGGCTAGTATAGATGATGTTGCAGGTAGAAGACCAATCATATTTGCGGTTTTCATGTTTTAGGATACAGTTATACATACATACATGTATAATATACGAAGAGAATTCTAGATCTTTAACCCCAGCATCTCGTCCTGATTACGACAAGGAGCAAGAGAGAATGCAAA